TAGCTTGAAAGTTCATAAACATTCTTACCTTAGCTAATTTAAAGCTGTTCACCTAAAACTTAAACATATGTGCCTTGTGCCGACCCTTGCCCAACGGCTGAAACATCCATACCTGAAACTGTTGATCTATAGTTTGAGCCTTGAGGAGACCAAAATAGCTTGAAAGTTCATAAACATTCTTACCGTAGCTAAAGCTGTTCACCTTAAACAGTTACTGCTGGTCTATAGTTTGAGTTGATCAAGTCTAAAGAGTCAAGATATTAGCTGGAAAGTTAAAAAAACATTCTTACCTAAGGCTGTCTATCTATAGCTTGGAAAGTTCAAGGCTGACAATAACGTAGCGCCACCAGTGCATCTTCAGAATCACGAACAAGCCTCTTCAAGAACTTCGGGGACTCAGTACAGGGCCCGCCTCAGCTGGGAGTGGGCAGAAAATTGCCAGAAATTGTTTTCGTTCAGTGCGGCACATCAGGCTGGTACCACCCCAAGGCATGGAGCATTTTTTTTTTGCCACCCGTCCATGGGTCGGCTTGCCCCAAGCCTCCGAGATTTTCGGAGAGGTTATTTAAATTTTGTGATTCTCAACTTGGCTGGGGGCCTGGCCCCCTGGGGTACACTTGTCTCCAACGAGGTAACAAAAAGGGATCAGATCTGAGAATCAGAGAATGAAACAAAAAAGGAGGAGCTTGACAGGCATGAATGATGACGAAAATGATATGGATAACTCTGCCGATGGTTTACCAGGCATATGCCTGCATTCCCAAACAGTCAACAGAGCACTGCAATATCAAGCCACCCTAAACAACACCCATACCAATGTCAATAGGCGCTCCTGGATGCATCATAATGATTACCCCTTGCAAAAAAGACGATTGTAACTTGAAGAGCACAGATCATTAGCCCATGCTCACTGTTAAACCATCAGTACTTTTCCCAGCTATTTTGCTCCAACACAGCCACTAAGTTAAAGTAACTAACGTGTTGCATGTTCCAGGGCTTGGCCTGATGGGTCGCATCGCAATCATAGGTCTGAGCTATTCCGTTCAATTTTATAAGGCCAACACAGCCACTAAGTTAANGAGAGAGAGAGAGAGAGATCCGGCATGGTGTGGCCCTTCGAGGTCTGGACAACGGTCCTCAAACTGGTCCTCTGGCATGGTGTGGCCCTGCACCAGGCCACACTAATGTTTCTATTGTCCTCACGAAGGGTGGAGGCGGGAGGGGGGAGTCAACATCAGACTGGCCATGCTTCTTTCAAGTTTAAAAATAATAAAATAATAATTATACTAGTAATAACAACGATAATAAATGATAATAATAACAACGATAATAAATAATAACATTTCCATGTATCAAAGCCAAACTTTCCTGCCTGTCAAACTCCCTAGTACACGAAAGTCTTCCGCTAGCCTGAGTTTGTTTCAAATTCTTTGCCATTGCAAATCAAGCCGGCACTCAACTGCTGAGGGTGAGTTTCGTTTGCCATTCAGACGTTATTTTGAGTTATTTTGTTCTTCGGATGCTGTCGCCCCTACATTGACATCGTATTAGATTTTTGTGTGTTAAAATAGGAACTTGGGAAGTATTAGGTTCCATAGAAGAGGAGCTTTAAATTAAATGCTCAAAGATCCAACAGACAACAAAGTAAACAGCTGAGATTCACGGCATGGGCCCACTGTGCTATGTGCACGCTATGAAAATCTGAATCTGGATACTTGTGTGACCAGGTCCAGGTCACCAACATAAAGATAGCACAAGTTTGCGAATGTTCATAACATTTACCAAACTGTCACTTCAAGTCCGTCTGCAATCCTGCCCTTACCTCAAACAACGCTTCAATAATGATCCGCCGCTGAGCCCGCTCATCCATCAACAAACCGCTTGCTGTTAAGCTTTCGATGTCCCAGTCCTCCAGTTCCATGACTGATGCTGCAAATTCGAACAGCACAAGGATATCCGGCCGCCCCAAAGACCAACACCAAAGAGACGAATGCATTGTTAGAATATTCGCAAACATATGTGCCTTGTGCCGACCCTTGCCCAACTGGCAACAGCTAAAACATCCATACCTGAAACTGTTGTTCTATAGTTTGAGGAGACCAATATAGCTTGAAAGTTCATAAACATTCTTACCTTAGCTAATTTAAAGCTGTTCACCTAAAACTTAAACATATGTGCCTTGTGCCGACCCTTGCCCAACGGCTGAAACATCCATACCTGAAACTGTTGATCTATAGTTTGAGCCTTGAGGAGACCAAAATAGCTTGAAAGTTCATAAACATTCTTACCGTAGCTAAAGCTGTTCACCTTAAACAGTTACTGCTGGTCTATAGTTTGAGTTGATCAAGTCTAAAGAGTCAAGATATTAGCTGGAAAGTTAAAAAAACATTCTTACCTAAGGCTGTCTATCTATAGCTTGGAAAGTTCAAGGCTGACAATAACGTAGCGCCACCAGTGCATCTTCAGAATCACGAACAAGCCTCTTCAAGAACTTCGGGGACTCAGTACAGGGCCCGCCTCAGCTGGGAGTGGGCAGAAAATTGCCAGAAATTGTTTTCGTTCAGTGCGGCACATCAGGCTGGTACCACCCCAAGGCATGGAGCATTTTTTTTTTGCCACCCGTCCATGGGTCGGCTTGCCCCAAGCCTCCGAGATTTTCGGAGAGGTTATTTAAATTTTGTGATTCTCAACTTGGCTGGGGGCCTGGCCCCCTGGGGTACACTTGTCTCCAACGAGGTAACAAAAAGGGATCAGATCTGAGAATCAGAGAATGAAACAAAAAAGGAGGAGCTTGACAGGCATGAATGATGACGAAAATGATATGGATAACTCTGCCGATGGTTTACCAGGCATATGCCTGCATTCCCAAACAGTCAACAGAGCACTGCAATATCAAGCCACCCTAAACAACACCCATACCAATGTCAATAGGCGCTCCTGGATGCATCATAATGATTACCCCTTGCAAAAAAGACGATTGTAACTTGAAGAGCACAGATCATTAGCCCATGCTCACTGTTAAACCATCAGTACTTTTCCCAGCTATTTTGCTCCAACACAGCCACTAAGTTAAAGTAACTAACGTGTTGCATGTTCCAGGGCTTGGCCTGATGGGTCGCATCGCAATCATAGGTCTGAGCTATTCCGTTCAATTTTATAAGGCCAACACAGCCACTAAGTTAAAGTAACTAACGTGTCGCATGTTCCAGGGCTTGGCCTGATGGGTCGCATCGCAATCATAGGTCTGAGCTATTCCGTTCAATTTTATAAGGCCTGTTAATCGTATTCGGGAGAACTCCTGTGTCAATTTCTTTCCTTCTCCTCTTCTTCTTCTTCTTCTTCTTTCCCTCCCTCTTCTTATGCTATGACGACCTCTTTCTTCACTGTTCTTCCTTCCTCGTTGTCTTGTGCTTCTGTGCGTGTTCCTCCTACGCCTCATTTGTCCATGTCTTCGAGTGCTGTGGCAAGGTTCGCAGTCATTTTGCTCTTAAACTTATGACTATGCTTGGGCTGAGAGTCTACTGTATCTCCCTACCGAAACAGGAAGGCTGGGGGAACCAGCCAAAAAAAAAAAAGATTTCCATCTCGTGCCATTACGACATAAATCAGTGCTCAGCAGAATGAATGAACATTGAATAAAGAAAGGGTTAATTTCAAAAATATTGCTGTTTCGAAGTTTGGCAGCAAAAAATGTCGTCCGTTCGAAGTTTCCTTTGCAAAAATAGAGGTTTCGTTGCAGCTTTATCGGGTTCCCATAGTTTGCCAGCAAAAATACCGCGTTTTGCCAAGTTTCACAGCAAAGGACCCCTAGGCCCCTGGCCTCAGGGACTCAGGGACTCAGCGTTCCGGCCTCAGGCACTCAGCTTTTCTCTTTTTTTTTTTTCTTTTTTTTTTTTCCGCGGGCGTGGCCGAGGCATCTCGGTCGTGGCCACGCTTCTTGTCTCGGCCACGTTTCTTGTTTTATTTTTTTATTTTTTTCGCGGCCGTGGCCGAGGCATCTCGGCCGTGGGCACACCCAGATGCATTAGCCATGCCAGAACGCTGAGTCCCTGAGTCCCTGAGGCCAGAGGCCTAGGGGTGCTTTGCTGTGAAACTGGGCAAAACGCGGTATTTTTCCTGGCAAACTATGGGAACCCGATAAAGCTGCAACGAAACCTCTATTTTTGCAAAGGAAACTTCGAACGGACGACATTTTTGCTGCCAAACTTCGAAACAGCAATATTTTTGCTATTAACCCATAAATAAATGCAGAGCACGTGACATTGTCACCCTAACAGAACCAACGAGACTGTGCGGTGCTGAGGTCCTTTTTCACCTGCTGTCGTCAACTTGTGCGTCAAACGCTCAAACTCTACTCCTGTGAAAAGTATTGAAGCCTCTGGAGTCTGGCTGGATAAGGAAAAAGCGCAAATGACACCATGAAAGGCATCCTTATGTAACTTTATGTTCGTCAAATCATCAGTCAACTAGAGAACGCAGTAGAAGCCGGGTTGAAAAAAAAGAAAAAAAAAAGGTACGGGAACAGAAACCAACCTCCACTGAACCACACTCGGGATCTATATCCACCATCCAGAAAACATATATTAGTGAGATAGAGCAAGAAAAAAAAAAAAAAGCCAAATAAATTTAATAAAGATGAAAGGGAAACAATTCAAAATCGGGAGGCAACTGAACTCGTCGAAGAAGCCTCTCATCAGCCAATTAAAAAAAAAAAAAAAAAAGCCTCTTGTCCACTTGACCAGTCAACCTGTGCCAGCACCACAGGAAATAACAAATTTAGAAATTTGAAATGATTTCAAACACCTGTTTGCAAGCGTATCCTAGATTCCTAGTACCTTTACCGGTCCCCGCGGGTATGCTGGCAAATATACGGGTAAAGTTGCAGCAATACCCCGTTTTTTGAAGGTTTCTCTGCAGATTTTATCGGCCGGTACCTGCTTTCGTAACAGGACAGGGGTCCCCGTCGGCCTGGCCTGAGGCAAGGACTCCAAGGCCCACGGGTCCTCTGTTGCAAAACCAGGTACCTCCCGGTATATTTGCAACTGAAATGTTACAGACCGGTATTCTGCATAGGTACACCTCAAAAGAGGCTGGGCTGCTTGCAAGTGTCTTTGGGGCTCGCCACACCACTCAGTCTGTCAAAAACACGATTTTCAATACTTTCTCTTCACCACACAGCCTGTCGAAATTGGAGACGAAAAAAAGAAAAAAAAAAAATTTGGAGACGGGAACAAAATTCGCAATTTGTCAAAAAATGCTTCACAACACGGTGACCCTCTTTCGAGAGTTGTTGAATCCCCATAAAGCTCGATTAGAAGAATCAGGTGCGAAGGTAACTTCGAGCCTCTATGAATGTGCTTTTATGGCATGCTTTGTTTCCTCTACTGTTGCCAGTTGAAGGTGAGCCATATGCCCCTAGTGTGAAGTTCGGTCGCACGCTTTCAACAGTCAGCTGCGCCATCGACTTTTCCTCGAAATTTGGTGTGGGCGTGAGAGCGGGATCATGGACTAATACTTACCGTACCCTCAGACGCGTTCGTCTTTTTCCATCTTGCATTCACAAGTGCGTCCATTCTCCAGTGCTGTGTGGCTAAGTGCATGGCCACACCACTCTCGAAATGTGAAAAAGACAAAAATGTGGCGGATGCATTGGGCCATGTACTAGCGGGAAGTTCATTCTCATTTTGCACATTTCAAGAGTGGTGTGGCAATGCCCTAAAAGGGGGGAAAACTGTCGAAGGAAGGCTGTCAAATTTATTCCAACAGCCATCGATTTATTTTTTGCTTTTCGACAGTGGTGTGCACTGTGTCGAGCCCCTCTGTTTGTCACACCATACATATCTGCGCAGACCAGTAAAGACCGTAAAGTTGGTACGCTACGTATGCAAACCGGTATTTCTGCAGTTAAACTTTGCCCTTTCAATTTTAAAACAGATGCAACCCAAAGTATGAAGAAACTCAACTTTACTCGAGCGCATTGACTCGTGCAAGAACGAACCACCATGGATGGCACCACCAACCTGGATGTCGATTTTCCTTTCCCACCAAGACTGCCTCTGATCTACACCGTCTGTGCATTCCACGAGGCTTTGGCTTTGTTTCTTCTCCTGCCGCTTCATTTCCAGCTGCTGACGCTTCTGTTCCTGCCGATAGTAGATTGACTGACGAAGCGGAGGAGGATACACCTCTTCCTCTTTCCTCCCCACTCACAGCATCTCCTCCTCTTTTCCCAAAACCAGAGGGGAACGACGTCCGCCGCATTCTCGTGGAGCTTCGCGAATAAGCCTGTTTAGTCATGAACGGCCAAGCATCAGAATTCCTCTCCCACAACACCCCCCCCACCCAAAAATAAATAAATAAATAAATTAAAAAAATCATCTGTCAGTTGTTCACGTGGTGTCCATGATTGGTTGGTTGGTTGGTTTACCGTTGTAGCCCAGTAATCGATCCGCAGCCTGACGGAATTGTGAGGTCCCCGGCCTCGTTCCTATTTTGCAATGACGATGGAAGTGTTAAAAATGCAATGTGCCCAGTTGTGATAATCAGTCGCCACTCGGAAAGACAAAGTATACGAACGCTGCTGATAAATAAAAATAATAATGATTCCCAATGAGAGAGAAGACATACACAGACGAGAGAGGGAGGAGGGARAATAGACTTTGAGAGGGTGGAAGAGTCTCCTCCCCACAGCCCACTTCCTCTTTGGGCACTTCCTCCTCCTAACCGCATAATCGTGTCTCAAGCAGAGATCCGGATATCCAAGACACTGTAGACYAATAGTGCCACGTSGCACCAGCAGACCAGTCATCAARCAGCAACSTRACGACGAAGTTGAAGACACCAGGGACGTATCACGACCCAAACCACAGTCCTGAATCCTTCTTCCGAATACTTGTCAAGCAGAACAGCAATACAGGCGCCCAGCGCCTTCCATCTCAGCAGCAATACTACGTGGCAGCAGCCACGAAGATCACACGTGGCATCTGCCATGTCGACAACCCCTCRGACAATAGTGCGCCAGCCAGCATGCTGGTCGCACAGCACACTCAAGCCACGGACCAGCGACGAGCGCCGGTCGTCAAGTTCTCCCCGCAGCGTCTCGCCAACAAGACAGCATAGAGTCGGCCTTGACGCGAGAGCGTCGAGTCCCCATAGACTCCAGACGAGAGTCTAGATGTCAAATCCAGGAAGTCAGCCCAATATGTAGTGTTGATGGCGAGGTCTGGGCCCCAGCCCTCAAGTCAGACACGGTCGAGATCGATTGTCGTCGACGGCCTGGATTGGGTTGAAACTGTATCCTCCTTGGTCCACCGTTCTGTCTGGGTACCTGCACACATACAAGTCGATGCACACGATCAAGGGCCTGGGCGAGGTACCTGGACCTACAGTTCACTTTGACCTTTGAATTTCTCGCTGTGCGCGGTCACACAGCACCCACAGCGGCCTGAGGCCGAGCAGCGCGTGGTTGCACTGCTCGCTGGGCCTGGGCTTGACTTACAGCGCCCAGGCCACTGCTGAACGCGGTTTACTGCATTCCTGCCGGCCCGAATTCGAGTTCCACCGCAGAAATACTTAAGACTTCGGTCCGCGTTCATAGCTAGCAACAATATCAGGAGTAGTATCCATCAGTTCCCGTCTGCTAAACCAACGGTCTTGAGAGGCATCTTGGAACTGGAATCTCACTTTATACTGCTTTTGAGGTCTGCCTCTTCCACCAGTAGAAAAGAATCCATGGTCAGTAATTTTCTCAACCACATTGTTGCCATTCATAGAAGGAGGTATGGCAGATGGTCGGTGAGGAAATTTTGTTCCTTCTACATATGGAAGCAGTTTAGACGCGTGAAAGACGGGGTATGTCCGAAGATGAGGGGGAATGTCAATCCGGTATGATGGTCCATCGGCCTCCCCTATCACCTTGGGAACTTCCCAGGGTCCTAGATAGACAGGCATCAGTTTCTGAGAAACATCTTCTTCTAAAGTAAATTCTTTGAACTTAACCCAGACCAAGTCACCAACTTGAAAAGTAGACGGGCGTCGGTGTTTATTAGCTTGTTGAATCATGCGTTCTTGGGTTTTCCTTAGATTTTCCTTTACCTTTTTGATGTCTTCTTGAAACAGAATGGGATATTCCTTAGTCCCTGGTGGAAGTCTAAGAAACTGGTCCCTTGTTAGAACATCTATGGGACGCTTAGGCTTCCAGCCTTTATGCAGTGCGTTAGGTGTGCGTCCCGTAGCGGTATGCACACTATTGTTATAGGCACCAGCAATCTTCAGTAAGTTCTCGTCCCAGTCTATTTGGTCAGGACGGACATACATTCTCAAAAGTTGTTGGACTAAACGGTTCATTTGCTCAAACTGTCCATTCGTTTCAGGGTGTCTACCTAACGACATGGTGAGCCGTGTACCGTAGGCTTCCATCAATTTCTGCCAAGGCATGCTTGTGAATCTGACATCGAACACGATCGACGTACTGCGTTACCGTCATCGTGCTTTTGTCATCCAACATAGACGTGATTGGTCTAGCTAACGTTTGGATCTTCATGCCGAGATGCAACTTGCGGATTGCACGTTCAGACATGTAAGATCGTGTGGACCGAGGGTCCAGCATCGCACCAACGTGTGTGCGATTGACAACCAAATCGGCAATCAATAGTTCACGTTAGACTTGGTTTTCTTCGCCCACGAACTGCGTAACGCGACTAGCTCGCTACCCAGCTCGTCAAGGGAGTCGTCCAGAGACAGACATAAGAGAGGAGTGGGGATATCTGAACGACGGGCGGAAGGGTTTCCATCCTCTGCCACGGGAGTCGGAGTGTGGAAAGGGATCGTAGGCGCCTTGCATGTGATCGCACTCTCCGACTCTGTAGGAACATATGTTATTCCTACTGACTGCTCCCTTTTGAATTCCTAATCAACGGGCAAAAGGCAATGACATGCACCGCAGTGCCACATTTGAGGCACTGCGCATTATCCATTCTATCTTGCCACACCTCCCGGGTTAGTCCCATCTTCAGCCACGGTCTGCCGGTCGCAATCCCAGGATGGTATGGGAAGGAGCGTGGTCTTATCTTCGGTCGAGTGTTCGATGACGGTCCTCCCTTGTTGACCGTCGCAGCAGTGATCTCCCCCTTTCCGGAGTCACTGTTGCTCTCACCACCACCCTCGGACTCCAATGGCCATTTCTCCATTGTATCGTCGTCGAATACGACGAGGGTGTGGTCTTAGCGCTTTTGACGTCATATGACCCGCTTGTCGTAGCCTCCTCGACCGCCTCCTCCTCCATTCTTTAYGGCAGCAGCGTAGGAACCTTTRACTTGCGAAGTCATTTGTTCCCAGTGCAATGCAAGGTCGCGGAACTGGCGGTAGGTATACTTACCTGACTTGGCCTCCGCGACCAAGTGCCCTCGTATCGGTTCGGGCAACGCGAGGGAGTAGATATAAAGGACCTGAGAGTTCTGCAGGTTAAGACCAGGAACCTGCAACAGGCGGTCCACCTCACGAGACAATGACTCAACGGAAGACCAGGACTTCTGTCTTATCGAGGTGAGTTGGTCGAAGGCCTTATCGGCCGTGGTCTTGTCCAAGAAGCGGGTCCTTGACCTTTGCAAGGAACTGCTTCAAGGTCATCGTCTTCACCCACTCACCTATATCGTCAAACCCCGCGACATTCGCCTCCGCCAGAACCCACTGCTTCACTTTACCACCCATACAAGAAGTGGTGAACGCAACTTGCGACTCTTCTTCTACCGATGCAGTCCCAACATAGATCTGGATCTCTGCGATCCAGAGTGGAAGGCTTTCTTCTTTCTTATTAGAAAAAGTGAAAGGTAATTTCATCTTCACCTTTTCTTTTTTCTTTGGCTTAGTCGGATCTGCGGGTTTGGCATTGTCCTTAGGAGGGGGAGTGGGACCGTTGGGACCACCATTCCCGTTTCCATTCCCGTCTCCATTCCCGTCTCCATTACCATTCCCGTTGGGTTTCTTTTCCGGTTTCTCTTCCGGTTTCTTCTCGGTTTCTTTTACCGTTTCCTTCTTCGTTGTGTCACTGTTTTTCATTCCACCGATAAGCAACTTCTCGGGTTTGACGTCCGCTCTTCTTTCTTTATCTTCATCATTTTCAAGCATAGGGGCTTTCCCCTTGACAATGCTAGTAGTGACATGAAGGCCAACAACGAATTCATCCATTCTAGATTRCTGTTGGTCTAACTTTTCTTCAAGAAAARCCAAATACGTCAATATTTGTCCGAGCGTCTGAGCAACATCTTTTTCATCTAAGCAAACGTGCTGCTTAACTCTACCCATTCTCTGTTGCAACCTAGTTTCCTGTTCTTTTCTTTGCAACAGTTCTTCCCGCTTCCTTTTTTCTTTTGCGAGTGTCTCTTTCAACTGTTGTATGTTCTCTTCAATACTTTCTATCTTTACTTCTGGCACGGTATCTTTCCGTTGGGCAATCTCTTCCAACTGCTGGATGGTGAACTAGTCCAGTATCTCACGACACTGGGCAATRACTTTATGGATCTCTGTTGCTGCCGGCACCATCTCTACACTCGTGGTAGCTTTGGCCAAGCGATCAGAGATCACTTCAAGGTCAAACTTACCACGGATGTGTTCTCTTGCGGCCGGGACAGCGAATTCCATGTCCACCAGCAGCTGGGAGAGAAGTTCTCCCAATTCACCTCTTCATGCCTCGATCTGGGCACGTGTACGCGGTTCCATCGAAGAGCTACCTGCTCCCACCGCATAAGGCACGTGCCCAAGACCGAACAGATGAGGCACCCACCTGGTCAGCAGAAATTGACGCATGTGTTGAACAATCGGTGCCATGATTAACGTCAACAGGAAACTTAACAGGCCAATCCTTTCTCAATAAAAGAAAACAGACAATATTATTGATAACTGGCCAGCAACTCAATATCGGTACAGCAAAGAATTCACAATAAAATAAATAAATAAAAATAATTTATTATTTTCTTGATTGATATGCTGTTCTGATTTGTTTTTCTCTCTTATTTGTGTGACGTCTTTATTTCCAGGTAATCGAGCAGGCCTAGGTCGTTAACATCCAACAGGTATGAGTACATGCACAGCCAGACAATAGGTAAGTACCGACAACACAACCAATCAACGTCAGTCTTCCCCTCACACAAGGCCACTTCAGCATGCACTCAAATCACCCCAACAGCAGGTAAGCACCACAAGTCAGAGTCTATTGCTCATGCCGCTCCCAGCGTCGGGATGCATCAATCGTTTCCCAAGGCAGGTCGTGCCTGCGTCAGCCAACCCCC